GAGGGAGGAGAGTTTCACTGTGTGGCTTCAAATGATCTGGGTCAACAAAAATCCTCTGTGATCCTTGTTGGTATTAGAGGTAACACATTAACTTACACTCATCTTCTCATGTTGTTCTTGTAGAATGATTCTATTTGTTTCTATGTGTGTCAGATTTTTAAAGCAAATTTTAAACATCAAAACATTCTTTTTTTTTTAATCGAAAGAATTGTGAGGATTTACTTAGATATCTTTCTTGTTACAGATGATCAGGTGTTTGGATTCACATCTCATATTATACTCAAGATCCTGGGCATTGTATTGCTCTGCATTTGCATCATCAGCTTTGAGTGGTGAGATTCTCTTCTATGAGTTGATACTTTGCAGCTGCTGTTAGATGTTGGTGTCTAAATAGTTTTCGTTCTTTCAGCTGGTTCAGATTCTCCAAGAAACCAAAAAAGGTAAACTTTCTGAGTTTATTGTTTGCATCATAACACATACAACACAACATAAATGGTTCAGGCGACATTTAAAACATCCAAGTGAAATTTTATTTAAAAAAAGTTTTATTTCATGTCACACAATTTTATAAATGGTTAAAGTCAATATCCAGTGTCCTTATCAGCTCCTGCAGTAATTTACCATCAATGGTAAATATTCTGCATAGACATAATAGTTAAACTTCTAAAATTAGAGGCTAGAGTGAGTTACATTCCCTCAAACACATCCATACACTGATGCACAGGATCATTAGGTAACTTAGGGTTCGATCTTATCCAGAGACACTTCAACATATGATGAAATGAAGCTGGAATCCAACTCAAAACCAAATTTCAGAAGATTATCACAAAACTACAACTTACCATCTCATTCTGCTTTTAATTTGGAATCCAGTGAGACTGAAAAAAACGAGATCAACTTTTATTACCTCTGAAACAGTTTGAGCTCAAGTACATTTACTGTAGGGAAGCAAAACACTGTTAGTTTTTCTGTCCACAGGAAACAGAAGAACCAGCCTATGTCAACAATGTGATGGCGACTACAGCATCATGAGCCTCAAGGAGACCAGAAAGAAGTCAAGGCCTCTGTCAGAGAGAGGATTCATTTCTATCTCTCCATTAATCTGTCCAATAGTCAAAGTTTCTGTCTCAAGAAGCTTATTTCTATCTGCAACCGCTGGATTCACCCTGAATGTGTCACCAGTCCATCATATCACCATTTATTGTGCCTTAGAAATCATTTATTTCTTGATAAGTGGTTTACAATCACTTATCACGTGATTAGAAATCTTAACTATGGTTTTACAATTAAACTTGTTACTAATGTAGTAAATAGTAATACTTTGGTGAATCACTGAGTTATAAAACAAAAAAAAAATGTTACAAAAATAACATTCTAGGTTGTACAAGTGAAGCAGAAGTCTTGCTGAATGTAACATTTTTATCAATGAAAAGAAGACAGGTTTTTAAAAATGATATTTCTGTTTATTACTGCTATATATTATTTTTTTCACGGTTGTACAAGATGTAAAAGGCAAAAATGTGAAACGTATATATTTTTTTCCAGTCTTGTATTATTTAATTTCCACACATGCACATGTTGTCATGAGTTGTGGTGGTGAGAATGACCGCTGACTACCCAGGTTGTGATGATGAATGTGGCTCAAAACAGTCCAGACCAGGCAGCACGGCAGAGACAGTAGCACACAGCTAAATACTGGTAGCAACTGACAAAAGACTGAACACAGAGCAAGGTAGCCTCAGGACTATCCAGTTCAACTGAGGACTGACTAAAGGCAACAACTGACATAAGACGAGGACCCGACAAGAGACAAAGACAACAGATGGGTTTAAATACACATGGATGGTAATCAGTAAAACTAGACACAGGTGGGATCAATCATCAGGGAGGACAGGACATCACAGAGGCTCACGGAAACAAGGACACAGAAAAAACCAAGAAATAAATACACAAAAACACAGATCGTCACACATGTCAGATTGAAAAGTTTTTAAGGTTTTTAAGTAAAACTACTTCTCATATTTGCCTGAATGAGAATTTCAGTGGATGTTCTTTCAGTTGCAGTTTCACCAAAAGCTAACAGATTTGGACACAAGAAGATTTCTTCCTCATGCTTTCACAAAGGTTTTGATTTAATACGTGCAGAATGGAGTTTAGTACTCTTGTGTAACAGGAAGTAAAGCTTTCATCATTGATTCATTTTGAATATTTGCATATGTTGAAAGCTTCTTGTTTTTGGTGTTTTGATTTGGCAACTTGTCCTGAGTAAATTCATCCCTTCTCTTTTTGCATTTTTTGTTTTTTTTCCCCAACATGTTTAGTTTGCCGCTGGGATGTAATTAAGTAGCTTCATCACTTTCTGTAAAGATTCTTTGAAACAATAAAAAATTGATTCTGAAAAAAGGAGTCATTGGTGCTTAATTTTCTGGAGAAACAACTGTTGACAAAACTGGTAAGAGCCAGAATCATGATTGATTTAATTGAGTTTAATTATTCAAATGGGACAGTGCATATTAACAAATATACAATGTTGTCAAAATGAGGTATGATGGAAGAATCTGACAGTGAACAAAAACAAAAAACAGCTTAAATACTGAGGCAGAAGTGGAAAATAAGGAACTAATCAGAGGTGATGTAGAACAGCTGTGGCAGAAAACAACAGGAAAACAAAAGGAAAGACAGTAATCAAGTAAAGCTGACTTGCAAAGGACATTTCAGCAGCAAGACAGTTCAAAGTATTTTA